CACTCTTAATACAACTTCACTGAAAGTATGGTTCTTATCCCCTTGGAAAAAAACAAGAACAAAACTTCTTTAAAAACAATTTAAAATCCAGGAACATGGGGCTAAAATAAAACACGAAAGCAGTTTACAAATAATTTTTTTCAGATTAGTAAACATACACAACTCTCTCTATTCTTTCACATCAATTAAAAATGTCTTCTTGTATGGTCTTAATAAAAATTTCACAAATATGTATTTCATGAGTGTCAGGCAAGAAGTAATACTGTCTTCAAGTAAAACTTGTCTGAAAATGACAAATCATGTATCTCTTCGTTAACTAAAGACCATTAATAATAGAAAAGGAGACTAAAGCCATACACCCTAGATTTTTTTACAGGCCACATTCTGGAACTTGGTGCTAAGGTTTAAAGAAGTCATTAACTCATTTCCCCCCAGAATACAGAAACATAGCATGTGTAGCATTTTAGTTATAAAAATGTAATATGACAATTCACAGCACACCACAGCACACCTGGGTGGCTCAATCAGTTAAGCATCCGACTCTTGATTTTGGCTCAGGTCATGATCTCAAGGTCGTGGGATCCAGCCCTGCTTCAGGCTCTGCACTCAGCGGGGAGTCTGCTTGAGATTCTCTCTCTCCACTCTGTCTGCCCCTCCCCCTGCTTGTGTGCACTTTCTCAAATAAATAAATCTTTTAAAAAAATGTTATGTGACAAGAATGCTTCATTAAAATAATTTTTAGTAGTCTGATTGTGATATGTCTGGTATGGATTTCTTTGAATATATGTTGAGATTCATTGACCTTCCTGAAGTTCTAAGTGTGTATCTTTCACCAAAATTGGGATGTTTTCTGCTGCTGTTTCTTCAAATGTTTTTTGCACTCCACTCTTTCTCTTCTCCTTTTGGGATTCTGATAAAATGAATACTAGACCTTGTGACATTGTCCCATTGGCTCTGTTCATTTATTTTTTCTATCATTTTCCTCTCTGTTTACCAGACTGGGTAATTTCTATTGCTCTAGCTTCAAGTTCACGGACTCTTTTCTTCATTATCTCCATTCTGCAATTGAGCACCTCCAGGGAATTTTGGGTTTTATTTTGGGTTTTATTTTGGTTATTGTATTCTGAGTCCTAAAATTTTATTTTGTTTCACACACACACACACACACACACACACACACACTATAATATTATCTCTCTGCTGAGACTCCTCTATTTTCTTTTCAAGAATATTCTTCTTGACTTCTTGAAGCATGGATATTAGAATGAATATTATGGATATTTTGGAGGAAAAAAATGGTTTTTAAAAGTCGAAGCAAATAATTTAGAAAAAATTTCCAAAATAAACAAAAATGTCATTTAAGTTCTAGAGCCACACAAGCACACTGAGGGTGAAAGTTGAACAAAATGAAAAATAACGAAAGCAGAGGACAAAGCAAAATAATCTTTTAAGGTCTCTTGAATTTTTAAGATATAGATAGGATCTGGGATGCATGGGTGGCTCAGTTGGTTAACGTGTCTGCCTTCGGCTCAGATCATGATCCCAGAGTCCCAGGATCGAGCCCCAGGTCAGGCTCCCTGCTCAGCGGGGAGTCTGCTTCTCCCTCTCCCCCTGCTTCTTCTCTCTCTCTCTCTTGCTCACTCTCTCTCTCAAACAAATAAATAAAATCTTTTAAAAAAAAAGATATAGATAGAATCCTTTAAGTTTTGGAATATATGCATATGATCTTGTTTTCTTTCCAATAGGAAATGAAGTAATATCTTCTAACCTAGATACAACCTTTTGCTGTAACTATTGGTGTGTTATGTCTTGCCTATAAAAATCCTATGATTAATAACCTGTCTTCCAGAAATAAGGTCCAGCAGAGCAGAGATAATGTATCTGGTCCTGGAAATATACGTAGAAAGGAGCAGAAAATAAGATTCATTGAAAGGCATGAAAAATTTTTAAAACTTTTCCTCTTTCTTTCAGACACCTTATTATCCTCCAAAAAGGGGAGTGAGTAGGTGGAGATGCACTTCGTATTTAAGAGTATTGTCATCTGAAAACAAAATATATAAACAAGTGCACAAAGTACAATCAACAATTCTTCCACTTCAAATAGTGAAAATGAAAACTAAGGGCCAAATTCTGAATGGGTGGTTTGTTGTCTTGTATGTGCAGTTTTACCACTCACAAATGTTCACAGATGCAGAAATACATTAATAAAAAATGTGTGTTTTCAGCAATGTGAACAGTATTGTATAGGGAAACGAAATTAGAAAGGACTTGCATAAAGGCCTCAAACAGATATTCCTACTCAACCCCTCCACCCAAGTATTTCCAAATTTTGATTACAATCTAAAATGAACACTTTAATTTTTTGTTACCTTCCACATTGTATTATTTGTAAGCTGGTATTTATTTTTGAATGAACACCAGCACCAAAGGTCTTCATTTATAACAAGAATATTACCAGTGGGAGGCCTGGCTGGCTCAGTAAGTAAAGCGTGTGACTCTTGATCTTCGGGTCATGAGTTCAAGCCCCACACTGGGTGTGGAGGCTAATTTAAAAAAATTAATAATTAATTAATAATTTGGTGCTATAGCTCACTGAAAGGAGTTTCATCAAAACTACACAAAGCCTAAGTTTCAAAATGATCACTTTGGGCACATTTATCAAATACATATAGACAACCTTAGGAATCATCTTCTCCAGAAGGTAGTGGATCTTACCATAATTTTTTCTGGGAGTATAGTTTGACTTTCTTGTATTTCAAAAAACATTTCACACCAGCAGAAGAACTGAAATGATGGAGGTAGAAAGCAGAGTACAAAACAAAGTCCTCAGGGACTAAATGTTAAAATGCTTGGGTAAAATCTCACCATTTCTTAGAGACATTTGTCTACTCACAAATGTCCAGAAGGGCTCTTTGAAAATACAGAGATACATTTATTTCTAAACTTATCAAAATAAGTACCTATCTATTCTCCAAGCACCTTCAAATGAATCATTTGTTGAGGATCTGAGTCACAGGTACTTTGGCAATTAAAAATGTATGCATCTTGGGGTGCCTGGGTGGCTCAGTCGGTTAAGTGTCTGCCTTCGGTTCAGGTCAGGATCCCCAAGTCCCAGAATCGAGACCTGCATTGGTCCCTGCTCAGTGGAGACCCTGCTTCTCCCCCTGCCCCTTACCCCACTCGTGCTTGCGCTCACTCTCTCTCAAATAAATAAATAAGATCTTTTTTTAAAAAAAAGTATGCATCTTCTTTCAAAGCAAATTGTGGTTGTCATTGGTTTTGAATGATTTTATGACTCTACAAATCTACAAATTCTAGCCATTTCTAAGATAAAAAGTTTTCTAAGATACAAAACCACCAGTATTTTACCACATCACCTAACAATAACAAATATGAGCAATATAGATCATTTAAAAATAAGTTTCCCAATCCCTTTCCATTGGCAAGTTAATTAATATTCTAAGATACATTGAGGTCAGGTCAGAGTGAAGGAAATACCTTCCTGATACCTGACTAGCAAGCCAACAGTATTAGTTTACCAATCCATACCCAAAATCACATTCAACAGGAGTACGTGTACAAACCCATCCACTTTGCTCCCTTCCATACCATTACTGTATTTTCAAATACTCAAGTACTAAGCAAACTCAGACAAAAGGGGAATTATGAAAACCCAGTACATTACAAAACATCAAAGGGTTTTTTAATGATATATGAAAGTAGTCCAACAAAATGACACAGAAACAGGTTTTATAGGCTCTAAAATACCAAGAAAAAGAACAATTTTTTTCCTCTCTCACTACAAATCATTTCTGTCACATGGCCTGCCCCCCAAACTAAAAACTGAGAGCTGATTTTCAAAAGCACATTATACTTATTTTAAATCCCCCATTTCACCAAACTTGAATAAAAAAAACGTTCTAGATGACAATTTTACTTGTGGGGGGGAAAAGCTTTTACATAATACTGTCTGATAAATAGCTTTTCATGGCTAGTTAGGCCTCAAGTTACGTAAACAACAACCAGACTCTAAATAAGGCAGAATTTATGGAGCAGCACATGGTGGCAGAAATACTGAGTTTGTGCAGGGGTGTTAAGACAGGTACTGACCTGCTTGGCAATTTGGTGTTATCCTGAGATTCTGATATGTGCAGTTACATGTCAATACACAGTGTCGCATTTTGACTCAAGCTGAGAGATTACCGAAAAACAAGTAAGATGCAGAGGAACCCTGTGACCCGAAAGTAAGGTAACACAGCTAAAAGCAAATCCGATTCCCGTAAGTACCCAAACAACTTCACAGCACCACTAAGGTGAAGGGGACTGCTTCCTAGAACTAAAGGTAATTGTGATGGCGGGATCTGTTTTAAATTCATTTTTTGCACACTATACTGTTCCACGAACAATTGCAAAACAGTCTTTTGGAGGCTCGAAAAGGTTTAAGAACACATCCAAGTTAACCGAAAGGCACTTCACAAGGCGGAACTGCCCACACTGCCTCTTAGCATTAGCACACAAGGGCAAGGTTCACCACATGCAAGAGAAAGTGAAGCACACACTCAGGGGCACGTTCACCACTCATGCAGTTTCTCACACCTAAAACAAGACAGACAACACTCAGGATATTCTGTCCACACTTTCCAAAATTCCACTTGTTGCACAAATCCCACCAGACCCAAGAAAATGAGCCCAGCCTAACCCCAAATAGGGTCATGAGCATCAACGACCAGAAGTACAGAGTCGAACAATAAGAAAAGTGGGAGGGGTGCAGGATACAAACCACAACAAAACAAAGCATGCCCCCAAACGCTTAGGCGCTGGTCTGCCAGATATTTTGAAGGCTGAGAGCCAGACGGCTAGGGTCCGGCAGGCTGGAGCCCCTCACCTAGCCCTTAGCCGCCAGAGGCCCCCAGGCCAATCTAGCGACAGGAGGCCCCAAGCTTAACCCAGCAGACCGCTCGCCCACCTCCCAGGCACACATTTAACAGGCCCTCGGTAACCTGGGGTCTGTCGGTGGCCTTCTGACGATACAGAGAGCCCCCTAAGCCGTCCGGAATGACAGAATACCCCAACTCCTGCCTTGGCGGCGGCCATCACACCAGAAGAACGAACTTTTACGACAACTCCCACAATACCCGCGGCCTACAACTCCCAGAGTGCACCGGGCGGCGCCGCCGTTAACCCTGTCGTGGCGCCGGGGCTGGCGAGCCCTTCTCCCCTCCCCCTCCCAGCACCCAATTGTTGCACCAACTTTCACGCTCACGATCCCAAACTAACTTTGCAAATTCTGCCGAACAGTTCCAGTTTTGCTATTTCGCTGCCTTCCTTTATCACTCAGACCACCTCAACTGCCCAGAAAATTATCCCTGACAGAGTACTCTTTGCTGTCCCCAGAGCACTCTTCATAGTGCTAAATGCTTATCATTTGTAGGGGGTACATTTAGCTTCAGTTAATCTTCCCCTTCGCCTTTATAATTTTCTGGCATTTTTCTAAATTATTATAACAGATATTTTGGTACTCAACAATATTAATTTAAAAATTGTTTTCTAAAATCTGGGAATCAACAACAGAGAAGAACTATCCTATAGTTGACTATAATAGTCTCTATCTCTACGTTTTGTAAGATAAACTTCCTTAAAAATTTCATGCAACTCTAAATAAGTCCTAATAAGAAAAATCAGATATGGGCAATATATCTTTTCAATTTCAAGTTCATTTTTTTTAAAGGGAAAGCTCTATTGTGTCAACATACTTGTTTTCCCTTTTTCTCTCTATTGATAGAAAGATAATCAGAAATAGCATATAACTACTACTTTATCCCTTTCTGACTTTAAAAAATAGCAAACAACCAGTCAGGAAACATTTTCATATAATTTGAAAAGAAAACCAAGGGTTCATTCTTTCAGAAAACTGCACAATCACATACTTTGCTAATGAACTCCTTTAAAGTTTCTCATTTTAATTAAAAACGAGTTTTAAAATGCATTTCTTTTAAATACATTGCCCATAATTTCAGTAAATATGACAATCACATTTAGAGATCACAGTATCATCAATATAAATTAAATGTGTAAGATGTACTTACACAAACTGTAACTTGCTCAGACGTGTAACTGACTGACAGACAAAATAATTGTTTGGTATTTGATGCATGCACTAAAACAACAACTAGATTCTCCTATAGTATCTGCTATTTTTCTCATACCAAAATATAAAATAAAATGTACATAATGTCTGATTTTTCCATAGAAACATTTTGCCATTTGAAAGGGCACTCAAAATGTATCATGAATTTCGAATCACAAAACTCAGAAATCCTAACACACACACAAAAACTCAAAGCCCTTTGGGAAAGATACGTCTTCAGCAAAACTCTAAAAAATCTTATTTTAAACATGACCCTTAATATTACATTTAGCTTATTAGTAAATTTTTTGATCTAGTAAACTACAATGAGAAAATATTTCTGCATCATTAATTTTTTTATTTCATGTTACAGTATATAGTTTCATTAACAATTAAGGTAAATGCTATATGTCAAGACATAAAATATATACATACATATTTAAATTTTAGTTCATTAGACTATTTTAGCTTCTGTATTTTTCTAATTTTAACTTAACATCTTAGTTAGAATTTAGCTAGGCAAAGTTACATTTTTTCTCTCTATTTTTTAATATCTCCTAGACCATAAAAATGTAATGCATATTTTATATATTATTCTTCTGATGTTAAAATATGTGATTCGTAAGAAAGTTTCTAAAACAAGTCAGAAATGAAACTGATCTCCTCGTATATTTATAACATGCTTACAACTCTTTTCTCAGTGCTATTAAATTATATTTTCCATTAGAAGTTAGTGTTTTCTATTTTTTATCTTTTAAAATATAAGATTTAAAAACTGACATATTAAAGGACTTTATTTAAAGAGTACATTAGGAATAATGTTAGGATCTTTTTCAGATTACCAAAATTCTTCTTTTGAAAATAACTTAGAAGTTTAGTATATCCTAATTAAGTAATTTAAGTAAGTCTTAACCTATATATTTAATATTAATATGAATGTTTTATAAGGAGAAAAATATATTCTAGAAATGAATTCTTTAAATCCATGTAAAAAAAATTAGTACTTTTCTCCCAAAGTTTTTAGATTTTATTTAACCACATGAATTTTTACGTGTATTTCTTAAAGACCGAAACCTTATTATACCTTATAAAAACTTACATTTTTAAAAATATTTATATGTAACTGTTTCATATATTTAAAATTAGAAGTTTTGTTTGCTCTTGACAATATATGTTAATAGAAGACAAACATTGCAATTTATTTCTTTTTCCAAATGTGATATTGGTGAGAAAGCTAGAATGTACAAATTTGCATATTTTATAACAGATTCTATGTATAATTTCTCTAACTACTTCTTTCATTCTTTTAGCTTCATAAAATACTTCAAAGCATCTCTAAATGATTGTTTAGATATTTTAATTGCATTTTTGCTTTATCTGCTTTAAAACATCTGATTTTCATACATGTGATTTATCCTGTTCATGCAAGTAAATTGCACTAATAGAATTACTGCCAAAAATAGAATGAGTTGCTAATATTTTAATATGCTCAAAAAGTTAGTCTGTCTTCCCTTTTCGTACGTTACCAGCATGACACAAATAAAAACTGAAAAGAGGTCACACACAAAGGACAGGTTCTTGCCTGATTAAACAAATTGTTTATATTTACATTATGACCCTACAAAGCAATATTTTCCTAGCATGTGAATATATCCCAGAGTTTAAGCTTCTTTGTTACTGCCCAAACCTTAAATAACTTTATTTCACTGGCCTGCTTTTAAAACAGTGACCGGTCTTTCAAATTTATCAAAATAGTCTATTTCTTATTATTATATATGTTTATATTTATGTTTAGGGATATTCTAGGTGTCTCTAGATTTTTTGAAATATAATTTTAATTTTGTTATGTCCTAAATACTTAGAAAAGATGATGATGGGAATCCTATTATAATGTCCGTCTATTAGAAAGTACATAAAAGGGGCCTCTTTTTTCCCCCAACAAACTGATTTTTTTAATGAAAAAATTTTCAACTAATTTGTTTTTTTAACTTAAAAATCCAGCTTTTTATCATCTTCATAATGTTTTATATCAGTTAGCATAAGCAAAGCTTAAATTCATGTTACTTCTTTTCTCTAATTGAAATGCCCTCTTTTCAACAGATGGATAAATAATAGCAAATGTTTCCTTACCTAAAGATGAAAAGTTTCACCTTTACAAAAGTCTCCAAGTTTCTTCAGAAGATAAAACTTGACATTTTCCTATAGAAATAAAAAGATACAGGTTAATGATTATGATCACTCTAAAAAATCATAATAGGATGATGGATATTTGAATTTTTTGAGTCCTAACTTTAGACAGCGAGGCTTAAATATAATTAAATTAAATCAATGCTGCCAATTAAAAAATCATCCTCATTTAAATTTTAAATTTTACCACAGAACCATCATAACTTTCTTATACTTAGTTGTCCTGCATTTTATTCTGCTATTGACATATCATGTGGATCTTATTTATGACTCAATAGTTTTAATACTCTTTTGATATATTTGTCAATAACTATCCTAATCTGTTTTAAGATGTTTTCTAATACATAGTAATGCCTGTTTTATACATAGTTTCTATAGCCTAAATTTCTAATCACGTGAGAGAAAAAGGTCCAAATCCTAAACTTCGTAATTTTCAAAGGCTTTTCTAGCTTCAAATCAATTTCTGCAAAAAGAGATATTTAACACATGACATACTCTAAGATAGAAACAATAAATACTTTAAGACAGAGTAAGACTTAGACTGAATGTTTAAAAGCCACTGTCGTGCTCCTCCATCTCCTTCTTTCTGGTCATAATTTTATTTCCATTTTAATACAGGTTTACATTCATTAGCTCACATTCCTTCTCTCCAAAGAAAAAATTATTTCTGCTTAGAAAAATTTCAGATTCTTTACATTTTCCCTTAAGGGCATGTAAAGACCTACTATTTCCAATTCCAGAAGGGGGAAATGAGTATCAATTATACTATTTCTCCCCCAAATTTCTTTTCAGAGAGCTATTTTCTATTCCTTCCCTCTATATGATTCTGCCATACCCCACTCAGCTTTTTTTTTTTTTTTTTAACAAACCAACAAGGTTTGTCTGACATTCCTCTCCCCAACATTTGAGGACACATTCTGATTTTTTTCTTGTGTTTTGATGCATATGTCAGAGTCTGGCTAATGCCACCTCTCCATACTCCAAACATAGCCAGTTTTCACTCACCACTAGGGACTTGCGGGCTTTCACGCACCAGACCCCTGCAAATCCCTGTTCTTCACCAGGACGTCCCATTTGGAGTCCTCATACGGATGAATAAAGTTGGAGAGCACAGGGGAGTTAGAACCACAAGAAAGAAGGCTAAGCATAGATGTCACCAGTCACATCCCTGAAAGTATCTTGCCCGTAACAGTAATGCTTTAGAGCAATATAGAACCTATAAAATTCATATGCCCGACCACTAAAATACTCCTTTCTATTACATCACTCATGGCTACCTTTGATTTCCTAAGCCATTGGTTTTTTAATGTGTCCTTTGTGGTACAAACAATTTTGCAAGTGCAGAGAGGTTTTGAGGGTAGGAGAACTGACCACTCACGGGTCCAACCAGTTTCTAGGGCAGAAGCAGGATGACCTCTTGGGCCTCCACCCAGACTAAAAGCTTGAGCTCTGCCTCTCGTTTTGCCTTGTCATACACGCCCGAGGGATTGAAGATAACCCTGTAATCACGCTGCACCTCAGTTTCTTGGTTTCCAAATTGATTCCATCACACAACGCGACAAGCAGATCACGAAGTGGGAGCCCAATCAAACGGCAGAAAGAAGAAAGATTTAGACCAACAGGCCTTTATTCCTCAACTGCCCCCATTTTCCTGAAGCCTTTCTCTCAGCAATGGAGGTGGGCTGTGGTAGTGGGCAAGGCTGAGGGGTACCATATGGACGGCTTCCAATATCCCCAACCCCTACAACAGTGTAAACAGTAATATGGCCAGACATAACGGCAATATTTTTCCTTTTTA